AACCTTCCTTCCGAGGAGTGGCTGGTGGGTTTGAACCGCCAGCCATCTGGTTAGCAGGCAAGTGTCTTAGCCACTATGCTACCAGAGCTCCCCAGTGATCAATAGGAATTATTTAATTGGATGGAAAAAAAATAAGATTATCATATTTTTACTCAAATAATACATGAGTTATACATTTTTTTCCACTGTGCCCTTACCCAAGGCAATTTTAAAAAATTTTTGTAAGCATACTTATGCTAATTTTTTTATATGTTGCTATAAAACATTAGCATAGCTAAAAAATTAGCTTGTAGAAGTCTACCTGCCACCTGATCTGAGATTTTGGATTCACCTACTCCTATACCCTGAGAGCTAACAGAGGCCTACAGCCTACTGCCTGACCTGCAGATTTTAAATTTAGCAGAACCTGCAAACACATAAGCCAGCACAGGTCTTCAGTCTGTGGCCTGACCCATATATTTGGGCTTCCCAACCCCTACAATCATGTGAGCTTTTCTTCACAATTGTACGAGCCATTTTTTCCCAAGTAAATGCATATATATATATTTTTTTTTTTTTTTTTCCCACAAATATATTTCACTTCTTTTGCTCCTCTAGGGAACCCAGATTAAGACAATGGTTGTGTAAACAGTATTACATTCTCATTACCCTCCCCTTTACATACATTGAAACATCAAAAATAAAAGCAGAAATAACATGGTCATAACTCTGGAAACCAGTTAGAGGATTACGGCAACTAAGCAAATGCTATATTCAAGAAAAAGATGGCATCAAAATGGTAGAAAAGCTTTCATTTTCTATACGGCCATGGTCTTTCCCCTCCCCAACTTGACAAAAAAAATAAACATTTGTGTATAAAGATAAAAACACTTTTAAAAAATGACATAAAAGATGGGAGAACAGAGCTGTATAGAAAGAGTTTTTATACTCTACTGAGGTAAGTTGATTCAAACTAGACTGTTATAAAATTAGAATGTTGCAGGTAATTCCTATTGTAATCACAAAGAAAATATTTAAAAAGTATAAATAAATGAAAACCAGAAGGAAATCACAATAATTCACTTCAAAAACTCAACTAAACACAAAAGAAGGCAATACTGGAGGGCATGAGTGAGAGAAAAGGTGTAAGACACAACAAACAAAATAAGCAGCAGAATGGCAGAAGCGCCTCCTTTACCAGAATTGCCTTAAAGGTAAATGTATTAAATGCTTCAATGAAAAAGCAGAGATTGGCAGAATGGTAAGAAAAGGTCATCCAATTACATGCTGTCTCAAGAGACCAATTTGAAATCCAAAAACACAAACAGGTTGAAAGTGAAACAATAGAAAAAAATACCTCATGCAAATGGAAGGCTGAGGTAGCTATATTAGTATCAGACAAAAAAGACTTTAACTCAAAACTGTCATAAGAGATAAAAAGAAAGGCATCATAGAATGATCAAAAAAATCAATTCATCAGGTAGAGGTAACAGTGATAAATATATTTGCCAGTAACGAGAGTCCTAAAATAAATGAAGCAAACACTGTCTGAATTAAAGGGAGAAATAAGACAGTTCTATATTTATATTTGGAGACTTCAATACATCATTTTTAATAATATACAGAATATCTAAACAGAAAAAGGGAACTTGAACAACATTATAAACAAACTAGACCAAACAGACACATATAGAACACTTCACACAACAGCCCAGAATACACACTCTTTTCCAGTGCACATGGATCGTTCTCTAAGATAGACCATACATGTGACTTACAAAACAAGTGTCAATAAAGTTTAAATGACTAAAATCATATAAAGTATCTTCCCCAGTAACAATGGAATCAGTCTAGAAATCAATAAAGAAAGGAAAACTGCATGAAGAACAAACAAATCTGTCTTAGAAGAAATACAATCAGAATGCTCCTTAAAAGTGAGGAAAGCAAGACTTTGACTCACTTCCTTTGGACACTTCATCAGGAAAGACCAACAGCTTAAGGATGACTTCAGGCTGATTAAAGAGAGGGTCAAGGAAAATTAGGGAAACCCTCCATGAGATGCAGACACAAAACCTGCATCAATGGACTCAAATGTACCAACAATCATGAAGATGGCACAAGACCAGGCAACATTTCATCCTGTGATCCACAGGGTCATCATAAATTGTAGCTGACTTGATGGCAACTAACAGCTACAACATATTCTACCATACACACACATACGCACACACATACAAATGTCAAATTTCTCATGAGATTAGAAATTATAGAGACCACAAGACAATGGAAAACATCTTTAAAATTCTGAAAGGCTAAAATAAAACCATTCACGTAGAAAAAAAATAACTTACACTAACTAGTCTTTCAAGACTAGGGATAATTAGAGATGTTTCTCCTCCTTTAACATCAGAATCTTTTTGCATCTCCTTAATAGCTTGTAGTATTTCCTTCATACCTTCTTCAAGTTGCTTATTTTCTTCAACTAATTCTCTTGCTGTAATTACATATTTTTCTTTTAGTGAACAGATCTTTATTATAATTCATACTATACTATACAAAGAATAGTTCACTACGAAAATATACCCATTTGGAAAATGTTAATGTACAAAATATTTTAAAAATTAAAATATAAATACAATTGTGAATAGTTAAATGGTATACCTATTTAAGTAATATACATATACACACTATCTCACAGCAGAAATAAAACAAATCATATGCACACTTTTGCCTTAACTTAAAACTATGCTTTAGATCAGAAATATTTTAAATTGTTTTCTAACTTCATATTTATCAGAAGACATGGTCTTTTTCAAGGTTATAAAGAACTCAGATTCGAAAATTGCCTTATGATGAAAATAGGCAAACTAACTAAATAAATGAGAGACTGAGCGTTATACATGATGATGATAAGGATAAAACAGAATGGAAAACAGTGACTTTATCAAAGTGTTTTTAAACCCAAGATTTTAAGTACAAGAAAATAATTCTCTTAATACACACTGAAAAATGTAAATAATAACAACTTACATTTATTCTGAAATTTGGCTATTATAGTTCTACTTCTTTCTAAATCTCTTTCCTTTTCAATTAGTTCTTTTGAAAGAAATTCATTCTAAAAGAAAAAAAAAGTGTAAGTGATCTTCTTTTTCCAAAATATTGTAATAGCACATAGTTTTCAAGCTAAGAAAAGTACGATCAATTGAGGTATAACACAACAGAAAGAAGAGACAGAAATAACAGCATCATAAAAGGAAAATAAAATCTGAAGAATAAAACAGATGGTGATCTTGCTCTCTCCTCCCACAGCAATACGCAAACAGATACAATGAAGTTTGTGTTTTTGCTTTTAGTAGCACAATCATCTTTTTTAATAATCTATCTTTATACTACCTGTTCTGCCTGGCTTCTATGTCGTTCAAGTTCTACTTCTGCACTTTTATTCTGTGCCTCTTTGATCAATAAATTCTGTGCTATGACTTCATTCTAAAGAAACATTTAATTAATTAGGCAAGTTAATAACTTCATATCAAATGTGCTGCTATTTAGACTTTTAAAAACTCAAATGTGTATAAATTAGTGTTAATGAACAAACAAAAAAGTCGTATTATAATTGTTAAAGAACTTTGTTAGACAAGTAATAAAAAAGATTTAATAAAAAAGCAATTATAGGAATGCAATTTGAAGGAATGCTCACCTGAGACCTAAGACACACTAGTTCTCTCCACAGCTGTTCTATAAGATTGTCAAGCGGGTCTTTCTGAGATAATTTTGATTGTGTAGTAATAGGCACAGAGTCTGGAAGATTAACTACAAGTTTACTTGCTAACATCTCAGTCTGCAAGGATACTTCTTTTTTTCTTACATCATCCTTCAAATAATTATCAGCATGTTTTATTTGGGTATAAACTTGTTTATCTCCTGATGCCACTACTTGTGATTCCTCCATGCCAGTACTATTTTGATGAATTTGTTGACAAAATATTGCAGACTTTTGCCTAAGTGATAACCTCTGCATTAAGTCTGAAGCTGTTGATAAAACTTGCGAAGAATCACTTTTTTGTATGATATTAGTCTTTTCCAGTGTCTGCTGACTTCTTGACACTTTATTCAAACAGTCATAAGAAAGAGAGCATAAATAGCCATTTATTTCTTCACGGTTCTCTTGACTAGAGGTACTGACTAACGATTCTAGATTTCTTAAAGATTGCAGACATGGTGCTTTAAAAATCTCCCGTATTGTAATTGTTTCTGGAGTTGAATTAGCATCTTTTACTTGCATGGGTGAAGAATGCCTGGTTATAGAGACAAAAGGATCCACTCTGCTTTCTACACTATGATGCATTTCAGGCAACAGTCTTGATAACGAGCCTATGGCCATACTCTCTCCTAGGTCATTCTGATCTGACTGTGGAATACTGAATGATGGTCTCCTTTGCCACAGCTCTATTTTATCTGCACTCCTAATCTGTATTCAGAGTAAATAACACCTCATTAATCTTCAGGTCCACATGTTATTTAAATAAACAAACTCTTGAAAAATTTATTTATTTAACAATTATAGAAAAAAAGTATATTTTCAAAATGAGATAATGAAGAGGAAATGAAAACACTTATAACAACACTTTTCTTTATTATCTTCACCACAGTAATACTTTACCATTACCTTTGATTGAGCTTCACTCATAGCTTTGAGGCTCACAAAATCAAATTTCCTTTCTCCTATTCTATTCTCTTGAGAAAAGTTTTCAGTTAGGTTCAAGTCCTCAACTGTTAAGCCTATATATAAGAGAATCAACAAATTAAAAAACATAAAAATAATGCCCCCACTATTCCAAAACTTCAATTCTTTTAAACTAGTATCAAGTTTTAACACAAATAAAGGGTAAAATTGTTTCAAAATCCTTGTTGCACTTAGTAGCCAATTATTACAATCTTTTAATCTACCTCATCTTTAATAAACTATTAATGATATGAGAAACTAATTTGAATTTTATTTTCTCTATCATCCTTTGTCTGGTCTATGTTAAAAGTAAAAATTAAGTACCAGATGGTCAAAAGACACGTATAAGAAAGCAGATAAGAATCATGAATAATGAACTCACTGCCATTGAGTCCGTCCCGACTCACAGTGACCCCTCCTTGGGTTTCCAAGGCGGTATCATCATGGAAATAGATTGCCCAATCTTCCTTCTGAGGAGTGGCTGGTGTGTTTGAACCGCCAGTCTTCTATGTAGCAGGCAAATGCTTTAGGTACTATGCCACTAAGGTGATTAATACACTAATAAATCATGAAATTTCATCCCTCTAGGTTTTCAATGTACTATATAGATTGTAATACTAAAACAAATACTCTGCTATATTAACAGATGTGCTATGGACTTAGGCCAAGTTAAAAAAAATTCCTTCTTTATATTCCTCTTTCAAAAAGCACTACAATGCATATTATATAATTTAACCAATTGTTATCTTTACATCAAGTAAGATAAACCAAAGAAAAATGTTCATTTTTATTCAATAAAACATTACTTACATTTAGTAAAGGATAATTTACAAAGAAAGAAGATTTTCAATGGATAGCCCTTCCAAACCAAACCAAACTCACTGCCACCGAGTCAGATCCGACTCATAGCGAGCCCTCCTCGGGTTTCCCAGGCAGTATCACTACAGAAGTAGATTGCCCAACCTTCCTTCCAAGGAATGGCTGGTGGGTTTGAACTGCCATCCTTCTGGTTAGCAGGCAAATGCCTTAGGTACTACACCACCAGAGCTCCCCCAGATAACCCTTAGAAGAGGAGAAACTATTAAAAAGTTTAGCATAAATTAACTAACTATGTATATGTAAATGTGTGTGTGAGAATGTGTGTGTGTGTGTATGTCAATGAATACAAATTTTGTCATTATTAATCGTAACATCTCAGTTAGAGATGCCTAGAAATTGATGGAGACTATACTGTAAACTTTTCAAAAGTCCACAATTCTAAAGTATGTTATTTTATTTTATTGTTTTGGATTCAGGATTGAACTCAATGATACTCACTTATATATTCTTCATCAGGCCATTATTTTCATTTCCTGAACTTCTAGCAGTAAAAATACCTCTAACATATAGAAAATTTTAGATTCAGGCAATTCATCCTTCAAGGATTTTCTTTTATAGGCTTGGGATAACTGGGCATACCTAAAGTTGCTGCTCTTTTTCCTCTTTCTTGAGCCATTTGGCGAATTTTTTTTTTCAGATCAAGCCGTTCTTCCTCAAGGCTTTCAATCTGCAAAGCATGAACTATTAGTATTCTTCTTTAGGGAATAAAGAAAAGAGCCATATTATCACAGCACTTGCCTCTTTCAAAAGGATCTGGTTTTCAGCTCTGTACTGCTGCTGTTTTAAGCTTTTGCTATTTCTAAATTCAGTTAAATCAATCATTGTCTTTGGTTCAAGGCCTAAAATTGAAAATAATATAATTGAAATCTTTATCAACATACAATGTACTAAAAAAAAAAAAAAAAAACTTTACATACCATGACACAATTAGCTAGCACCATTAAAGACTTTTCATGCAGTAATTTTTCAGAATTTGAATTAAACCTAACAAGTTAAAATTTCATCACAATTAATCTTAACTTTAGGTACTAGGTACTATTAAAATAATACATAATATATTTATTTTTCCTTCCTTTAGAGAATAAATATTTTTTACAGATAGTCATTTTAACTCTAGGAAAGCATTCACTGATTAGCAAGTGTAATGAAATCAATCTTTATTTTCATTGTTAAAAAGCAATTTAGATTGAACTGTCATAACAATCACAGTTACAAATTACTTCTTAGAATCAATGGTAATGTTAAAATACTCAATCGAAAGAAAACTTAAATCATTTAAGTATTTAAAGGTCTGAGAAAACCTTAAACACAATTTCTAAACATTTATCTAAATTCATCTGAAACAAGAGCACTTTACAAGTTAATATGAGTTATAGAGATACTATTTCACTAAAGAAAACAAGGTTAACTTCTATTCTCACAAGTGGTACTAAAATCATAGACTTTCATTTATAAAATAACTATTACTGTCTCTAGCACAGTGGGTTGCTAACTGAGCTTTGGAGATCCTAAGAGATTCCACTGATTTTCCAGAAGACACAGAACTGAATAAAGCAGTGCTCAAAGCCTGCCCCCTACTCATCAAACTCCCAATCCTACTTTTATTTATTTTAAATATTTTTACAAAGGATTTATTTAGAAAAAAAAGCATTTTTTTAAAATTAAAGATAAGAACAAACAAAAAATACTTGGAAATCAGATTAAGTGAACTACGTATCTTAAAGATGGTTACCTGCACGCTCTCTAAGTGCCTCATTTTCATCGAGGAAATCATTGATCTTCCACTCCAGCTTATTGATTTCCTTTGTCAAAACTTCAATCTCTCGATCTCTTATTTTAATTTGATTTTTACAATTCTTTATTTCAACAACAGCATCTTCTAAACCATATACTCCCTGCAAAATGCCCAATTTAATTTAAATGTGATTTATTTAAACACACTTACTAACTTAGGAATGTATTCTCTTATTGAATTTGTGAAGAAATACACATACACCTAAGGTTTCTATCACTAACTTGTGACTTGTACTGTAAACCAGTACAAGTCTGCAAACCAAAATGATTCTGTAAACCAAATCCAGTAACAGTAACAATGAAAAAAATATAAGACTCTACTACAGAGTTTTACTGACAAAAATGACTCAGAAATATTACATATGAAACATTTAACAAACTATAGAAAAGGTGTATTTAAGAGCAAATCAGCTGTATGAGTGGAATATATAAGTCATTAGTTACCTGACTTAGTGGTAATCATATTAAAAAATACAAAAGTAAAAACTAAGGCTGTATTGACATAGTAGTTTACAAAACTGTTGTCATCATTTTTATCAAATTGACTGCTAACCAGAAGGCTGGTAGTTCAAACCCATCGGCCACTACTTGGAAGGAAGATGGGGCAATCTACTTCTGTAGTGATATCACCTCGGAAACCCAAGGAGGGGTTGCTATGAGTCGGGTCCGACTCGAGGGCACATAACAACAACATCACATCTACATGGTGACACAATGGCAGACTGCAAAGCATCTAATCCTGCTGCCTCATCAAAGCTGATTATCTAGTGGAAAACGCTTTGACCAAAATGGTTTGAAAATAATTCTCCTGCCAAAAAGTAAATGCTGCTTAAGAGTCTGAAAAGTTTAGTATAAATGAATCTTTTATCAAAAGACACTTGTGGTATGTTTTTAAATGGTAAGCAGTAAACGGCACAGAATAGTCTAACTGTGACTGACAAAAATGATCCTAAGCTACTTGATTGAAAAGATAAAAATATATACCGATTCATAATCCTTTAATCGCTTCAAAGCCTCAACAAGTTCTTTATCCTTTTCCCTAGCATCAGCCTCAGCCAGTTCAGCTGTTCTCTCAGCCTCTTTCGTTTTCTCTTCTAAACTTTGCAGCTTTGACTGAATTTTCATATAATGAGTCTGTTGAGAGAGCGTTGAAGCACCTACAGGGTAGAAACCATCATCAATAAATGAGATTGTTCACTCAGTTCATTAAATCAGTGGTTCTAACATGGGAAGGCAGAGGAAGAAATGCTGCGCCATGGAAGAGTCTTTTTAATAATATTAAATTTGAGAAACAGAAATTTTGGTTTCATTAAGGAAAGTTGTAGTGTTCAAGAAATTCTTCTTAGCTGCAAAACAATGCTTTATAAACAATGACCACTATGGTAGACTGCTGGCTATCTCTAATAGATAGCTAGTTATCTCTAATATATAGTGACCTCATGTGATACATCAGCACTTCCTCACAGGGTTTCCTCCACCCATCTTCACAGGAGTAGATCGCCAGATCTGTCTCCCACAGAGTCCCTGGGTAGGTTACAACCACTGACCTTTTTGGTTAACAGCCAAGCAATTAACTGCTGTGCCAACAGCACTCCTCCTTGCAAAGATTATAGTCATGAAAATCTTAGGGAGCAGTTCTCCACTGTCACACGGATCACTGTGAGTCAAAACTGACTAGAAGACGCCTAACACCACCACCAACAAAACCCATAAATTAACTAATACTATCCTGTATATTTTTGAAAATATAATAAAACACAAGTAGAGAAGGCTCAATAACATATCTTTTGACATATTATTTTTTAATCAAATACTTTAAAAATAGATGGCATATAAATTAATTTATATACTTATAAAATAAATGAATTACCTTTGTTTCTTTGGAGTTCAGTTTTCAAATCTTCAATAATGTAAGTATTTTTTTCCATTTCTTTTGTGTATTGTTCTACTTGTTCAGTGAGCATCTTAATTTGGCTATCTCGCTCCTGTATGCCCTATAAGATATTTTAAAAGATCACATATTAGCACTTCATGAATGTTAAAATACAATTTAAAAGGTAAGGAAAAAAGGTAAGTCTTGTCTTTATGAACAAGGCTGATGAATATAGTTTTTGAGAGACAAAACTATGCTTTTAAAACGATTTTATGTACTTCAATTGTACTACACAATGTTAGATAAACTCCAGTCAATCTAATAATTAAAGATGGATAAAGTCAGCAGCTGGAACCAACCAGCCACTCTGCAGGAGAAAGATAAGGCAGTCTGCTTTCATAAAGATTTACAGCCTTGGAATCTCTAAGGGGAAGTTCCATTCTGTCCTATAGGGTTGGGATGCTAAGAGTCAGAATTGACTCTATGGCAGTGGGTTTGGTTTTTTGGGGTTTTACTCTGAAAACCAGAATTCCAGAACTCCTTAATATTTTTGGCTTCCTATGACTCCTTTATACAGTTTTCTTCACCCATCCAATTCCTTCTTTTGTGTGTGTGTCTTTCTCTGTATTTTTTTCTTTACTAAATTTAGATTTTCCTCTTTCAGTACATGATTGAAAAGTATTGTCCCATGCAATTTTTCTTTTTCCTCAAATACTTCCTAAATTTCATTTTTTTTGAACTAAGACTAGAAAATACAAATGATGAAAGTGTACATTCATTCTATAACAGTATATTTTTACTAAAAACAAAATCTTAATTTGGAACACTCAAATTATAACCAAACTGCTAGTTTATTTCACAATCACAAGGTATGTCAGTAGCGACGAACTCATGGTAGAATAATCTTTAATAAGAGAGTATTCAAATATATTAAAATTTCTAAAAGTTTTTAATAAAATTTATTATGAAAGGATTCCCAACTGAAACAATGTACATATTAACTGTATCAACATAAGAAATTAAACAAAATAATTCTATTCCTAATTCTAACCCTAACTCTAAACTTAATTCCAATATTTTCTTAGGATTAGATGGTATAAAAAATTTCAAAAGGACATTCTGTACAAAAACTTTATTACACTGGTAGCACAGTGGTTAACATGCTTGGCTGCTATCCAAAAGGCCTGTGATTCAAATCCACCAACCTCTACGCATGAAAAAGATGTAGTAGTCTGCTTCTGTAAAGATTTCCAGCCTTGGGAATCCTTGAGCGCAATTCTACTTTATGCGAGAGGGTCACTATGAGTTGGAATGGACTCGAAAGGAACAGGTTTAGTCAAGTCACTAGAGCAGGCACAGGCGAAATAATAAGACATACCTCAGAGTGCCGTTACGAACTCTGATAATCAAACTGACAGATGAATCAAATTTTGTGATGGTTTTTACCTGTTGTAGAGCCATAACATTACTTTTATCAGCATCAAGTTGTGCATTTTTAAGTTTTTCCCTCATGTTATGTAACATTTGCTGATATTCAATAATTTCATCATCTTTAGAAGACAAAATTAACTAGAAATAAACAAAACAACATCTGTTACACAACAGAAAAACTAATAAACCATTGCTCATTTATGGTGATTAATATATATCATTAGCGGATTTTAGGGAAATATAAGAAATAAAACTCTTTGAATAAGAAAGTATCAGCAACTTCAATCTCTTCATCCTTGTTCCTTTCATATTTAGTATCCAAAGTTCTAGTAAGAAATGTTGGACCAATATAAAGCATAAAGTTTGCTTTGAACTGGATAAGTTGTTTCTAAAATTCATATAAAAATGTTCATAAGGACAACTGTAAAAAAAGAATAATAAAAAGAATAGCTTTTTCAGATATTTGAAAATACAGTAATTAAAAACAAGTGTAGATGGTTAAAAACAGATCAATCAGTCTAACGAGAGAATCCAGAAACAATCTCAAATTCAATAGGAACTGTATATATGTATAGTAAAATTAGAAAGATGAAATATTCAATAAATAATATTAGGATGATAGGGTAACATCCTACCCTACTGCATCCATCTCAATCTTTATACCCAAATGAAATATATATGCTGCAAAGATTTAAATGTTAAAAATGAAACCAAAAAATACTGTAAGAAAATATGAAAAAGTCATTTTACATTCAGAACCCTTTCTAATTATGACACAAAAGCCAAAAAAACATTTTTTAAAAAAATTAATTGCATAATATAAAAAGACCACATAGAAAAAAAAAGCCATAACATCAAAAGACAAATAAAAACCTGAAAGAATACATTTGCAGTATACATTACAATTACATTTACAACAATTTATCTTACAGATATATATTTGCAAAAAATTAACATACAAGGATAGTCATTAAAAAACTTTCTAAATGTCAAAATAATAGGGAACCAATTAAATTAACCCTATATATAAATCTACATTCTAATGAAAAATTACAAACATTCAAAAGAACAAAGCAATAATATATCTACTGTAAGCTATAGTAGCATAGTGCCTAAGGCATCTGACTGCTAACTGAGAAGGCTGGCGGTTCAGTAACACCAGCCACTCCTCAGAAGGAAGATGGGGCAATCTACTTCCGTAGTGATACTGCCTCGGAAACCCAAGGAGGGGTCGCCATGAGTTGGGTCTGACTTGATGGCACATAACAACAACAACGATAAAATAATTTTAAAATATTTTAAGTTTTTTTTCTTTAAAGATAAGTGCAGAATAAATCTAATATGCTATCATTTTTCAAAAATAATTAAATATGATAAACATTGTTTATTCCAAGGTTCGCAAACTATGGTCTGCAGGTCAAATGTGACATGCCACCTACTTTTTAAAGTGTTCTTGGGAAATAGCCTCACTACTTCATTTACCTGTTGTCTATGGCTTCTTTTGTGCTATCACAGCACTACTTAGTAGTGCAGCATGGATCAAATGGCCCACGATGTCTGAAATACTTACTCTCTGACTCTTTCCGGAAAGTGAGCCAAGCCCTGATTAATTCTACAGGACTTATTTCTATTGCTACTGCTTCTTTTAAAAATGTAGGTTATTTGAGCTTCCCAGATGATAACCCGTTTCAAATAGCCAACAAAATTTTTGGGATTCCAAGCAGAAATGATGACTATAAAAGTGCTCACTTAAAAAATCAGTAGTATATTGACATCATCACAGAACACTTTTCAAAATGTACATCCATCATAACCCCAGCTGCTGATATGGCAAGGCAGGGATATTTGGTTGGAGTTGGAGTAGTAAAGAAGACAAGTGTATTCTGAAAAAGTTTTCCAAATGATTCTCATAGATCCCTGTCTTACTCCCATTCACACTGAATACCAACACTTTTATTAATCTGACAATAAAAGTAGTTACAAAAAGTAAATTAAACCTAGAAATATTATAACTAAATACATACAAGGTAACTGTGATTTATGTAAAAAAAATAATAATTTTATTTAGAATTCTCTATTTTAGTTTACAATGCTATTATACTTTGGGCTTAGACATCAAAAGCTTAATAATTTTATTTAGAATTCTC